TTCATTTTATTTTATTTTATTTTACTTTATTTTTTGGTTTCTGCATCGTGGTTCTTCTCAAAAACTAAGAAAAACAGTGGAAACCAGAGCAAGGCTTAGCACCAGTGATGCTCATCTGTGCTGAATCCTTCAGCTGCATTTTTGCATTCTTGTTGTTTTGTTTGTTTTGTTTTGTTTTGTTTGTTTGTTGTTTTGGTTGGTCCCCTTCAGAACCTCAGGTTTCTAATTGCCACATTCCCAAAATTCAGCCAGCGAAGCATCTTTGCAACCTGCTGGTTGATGGATGAATATGGGTTCCCCAGTCCCCTATGTTGCAACCTTTATTGATACTTAGGAAGATCGTACAGTGAGCTGTGTCTGTAATGCATGCTTTGTTTCTTTCCTAGCCATGAAAAGCCTGTGTAGTTTAAACATGAACAGCACCAAACTTTCGGCAGACACCTATGAAGATCTCAAGGTATGCTGTCTTTCCCAGCAGTAGGGCAGGCGGCTGTGGGCTACACATGGAAGTCTTCTGCCCGCCTTCGATGGCCAGTGTCAAGAGAGGAAGGTGTATTGTGAGCTCAAAAGGCACACATAACATACACACAGTGGCATCTTTATTTTTCCAGCCTATCTGGTGGTGCTGTGAAGCATGCATGGGCTATCTGGTTGACAATATGGATAGAGGGAAATCTTTATTAATAAAGAACTGTAAATGCAATGATGAGAATTCTGTTGCCTTATGCAGCCAGGTAAGGGCATTCGCTCCGGTGACTCAACTTATTTTGCAAGCTGTCCATTGCATTCCTGATCTTCCCCTGATTAGGACAATTATTTGTGCATCCAGGCACATTAGCGGTGCACCCAGTCACGTGATGGACAGCCAGCAAAGAGAGAAATCCACTTGTATTGATGGCCCTTCGGACAGGATTTCAACCAAAGTTAACGAAGGAAGCTTATGCAAACTTCAGAAGTAGCCTTATATTGAGTCAGTCTTGAGTCCCTGCATAGACACCTCAAGGCGCCCTATTGGGAGATGTGGCCCTACAAATGATACTAAATAAATGAATAGTTCTCCCTTTGATCCAGCATTGTCTGCTCTTGGCTGGCATTGCTTGGTGTCCCATCTCCTACTGCCTCAGGGTTGGGCAACCCTGACTCCACAAGACCAACATTAGGGTTTCCCCATGGTGGAAACTCACACACAAGATGCCCTGTGTCCCAATGTTGGGGTAGAGGAGGCTTGAACTCCTCCCGCCCCATCTCAGTGGTGTTGAATAAGAGGTATGGAATGAGGGCTTGGTTAAAGAGGGTAGCACGCACCTTTTTTTCCTGGCACCCACTGTTTTGCTGGGTAATGGGAGCTTAAAAGTAACTAATCACATATCACTCATTATTTGTAGTTATTCCCTTCTCTAATAGTAAAATGATAACTACATGATAGTACAACTGTAGCTTGATGGGGTGTAACATTACTTCTTTTGTGGTGCTGCAACTGTAACATAATTACTTTTCTAGTTATAGGGGTTTGGTTTTCCAAAGGGGTGGAGAAAGAAGTTTTCCACTCTGCCTAATAGGAGGGCCGGCCCTCTTGCTTGTGTTAAGGAATGTATGGGACAGGAATGACATCTGCCCAATGTCTCATAGAGTGGAAATGTTTTTTTTAAGCAAGCTGAAGTGTTTCTTCCTCCTCTCTTGACCTCCTTTTCTCGTTTTCGCCAGGCTAAGTTGCCCAACCTGAAGGAAGTAGACGTCCGCTACACGGAGGCGTGGTGAAATCCTTTGCGCGGCGTTTGCAGCTTGTGACGAGGAAGGAAGAAAAACAAATCTCTCTTTTTTTGGAAACAGTTTTTAAAAAGCGGAGAAATAAAACTTTTGGTTTCTACTTAGAGAGAACAGCAAGTTCTGAGGACTTCAATTTTAGAAACTGTGTTTGTGAGATAGCAGAATGTGGCTTTGCGTTGGGGGGGGCGGGAAGAACTGAGCATGCCCAGAACCCCTGATTCTTTTTCGGCTTCATACTATGACATTTAACATCATTGACATCAATGGGGGTGGGGGGGAAGTGGGACTGTGTCAATCACAGGAAGATTAGGGAAAAGTTTGGGGTGGAATCTGTTTCAATTTACAATCGCTTTCTTTGTGTTATTAGGGTTTGGTTGTTTTTTTAATGCCATGTGGAAAGAAAAATAATTACAAGAATATGCACCCGTTTCTCATAGTTCTCCTTCGATGGACTTCAGCTTTTAGGCGCTTCTTTTTCATCTTTCCTGCGCTTAAAAACCAAGTATGGGGGGGAAAAATCGAGATAAGAAAACAGAAACCCATGTGATTTTTTTTCACTTCTTGCTCTGTTCTTATGCAAAGTAATTTTTTTGTACATACAATTTACATAATGCAGCTATTTAAGAATATGGTTCACAAATAACGGGTCTGGGACCTGTCTTTTATTTATGAATTGTTAATTCTTTTACCTTTTCGTTTCGTTTGTTTCATTTCGTTTCATATAGAGTCCTGTGTAAACCAGTTTGCTGTCTTACACTTTGTTGTCGTTAATTTTTTTTTAAAACAAAACACAATGGACAACCCTTTTTTTTTGAACTGCTGTCTTTTCGTAACACTTCTTTGCATTACAGGCTCCGTGTCTGGCCCACCTGCCCACGGCATACCGCGTTTTACAAAAGCCTTCAACCCCACGGGACAGATTTAAAATACATACATAAATGGACATATAAAATGCTCAGCTGCGGAAAGATGGGACGGGAAGTTGAAGAGTAAGGACCCAAAGGCCCTTTTTGGACCATGTCAGGGTTAGGAAATTAGGGGTGGTAAAGAAGCCACCTTTGCTTTTACCGTCAGGTTCTTTAAAAATAAATAAAATAAAGTTCTGCAATTCAGTCTAAAACCTTAAGCTGTTCAAGCATTTGTGTGTAGAACTGCCAAAGCGTGCCTCTTTGGTTTCTGTTTACGTCCAAGATTTCAAGGGTGAATTCGGCCACCCTTGACACTGCTTCCCACAGAAGATCCGTCCCATTCTTTCCCCGGACCTTACCTCACCCTCTGCCCCTTTTCCTTTATACCGATAATTTAGCATCTTCTTTTCATACAGTTGAGATCGGTTTGCTGTGATCGGTTTCTAAGGTCCAGCTGGACGATATGAACCACTACCCATTTCCTGATCCTTCTTCTCCATGGCTCAGAAAAAAAACCCTCAATGGAACTTTAAAGAAATGTGGTTTCTTTTCTAAATATGCTTTTTTGGATTATTACTGTTTTTCACCGTAAGCATTCTTCGAATGGAGCAGCTTATTTTTTTTTAAGTGGAAACAGATGTATTGTTTTATGTTTCTCTTCTTCTTCTTCTTCTCCCCCCCCCCATGTTTAGCAATGTTGATTCAAGAGATTTAACATCCAGGCAATGTAATATTTATACATATACATATATGTATAAAATATATTTAATCGTATTCAATGGAAAGCAAAGCTTTTTGCTGTTCCGGTCGTCCTTTGTTTCGTTTCGTTTTAATTTGTTGCTAGGTAGCTAATTCGCACGTGGTGTCTCCTTCATCTCTTTGAGTCCCCCTTTTTATATTAAAACAAAAGAAAAAAAAACGACAACACCGTCAACAAAAACAGATGAAGTCTTAATTCACATCACGTGCCAGGGTTGGTTGGTTTTGTTTTTTTTCTGCCTTATCTCCCAAGCTGTCTGATAAACTCAGTGAGGGAAGAAAAGAAGGAGGGGGGAAAATGGGAAGGAAAGAAAAAACATATTGGCAACCTTTTATCCTTAGCACTGTTGCTTTTTACCGGATGGATTACTACTACTCTTCTGTAGCTGTGTAAAAAAAAAAAGAGAGAGAGAGAGAGAGAGACAGAGAAAAGAAAAGAAAAAAAGATGTGAAATAATTTCAGGCGAAAAAAATTGAAAATAAACTGTAAGTGAATAACTTTCAGTGGCCTGCTTTTACCTTTTTGCGTGTCTGTGCTTGGTCTGCAGGCTGTTGGAATTATCTGAGAAGATGCCCAGGTCACATTTTTTAAGGTTTATGGTACAGGTGGGAAGGGAAGCAGTGCCAGGTGGAACCACACTAAACTCTTGGGATAAAGCTGACCCTGCGTTCCACAACCAGACTTTTATCCCGTGTGTGCTGGGTGGAATTTGATTGATTGATTGATTGACTGATTATATTTTTCTCCCACCCAACTAGTGGCAAGGTCACTATTCTAGAAAGCGTATACTGTAGATAGCATAATATAAACATACAAAAGCAATAACAGAATTGGCATCAAGATAATGGAGAACAAAACGTCATCTCTAAAAATTAGGATCACTGACACTACAAGCAACTGGGGAGGGAGAATTAAATACAATACGTATAGTGGTGCCTCGCTTGACGATGTTAATTCGTTCCAGCGAAATCACTGTAGAGCGAAAACATCGTCAAGCAAAATAAAAAAGCCCATTGAAATGCATTTAAAACCGTTCAATGCGTTCCAATGGGCTGAATACCTGCTTGTCCAGCGAAGATCCTCCATACAGCGGCTATTTTTGGTGCCTGTAAAGCGAGGAATCCATCCTAGAAAAGTGGGGGGCCATTTTGAGCAGCCAGTGGCCATTTTGAAAACCCGATCATCAGCTGTTTTGATCGTTGTAATGCGAAGAATCGGTTCCCGAAGCAGGGAACTGATCGTCGCAAAGCGAAAAAAACCCATTAAAACATTGTTTTGGGATCGCAATTGGGATCGCAAAAATATCGTTGTGAAGCAGATTCATCATACGGGGTAATCGTTAAGCAGGGCACAACTATCGTGAAGCGGATTCGTCATACGGGGTGATCGTTAAGCGGGGCACAACTGTATATAATAATCATAGGTGGCAGGCAACAGCAAGTGTCTTGTGTTATATATGGGACTGATAGCAGGTTGACAGGCGGGGCCCAAAGAATGGTAGGGTCTATCCACCAACGCTTTTTATTTTATTTATTTTATTCTTTTTTTTAAAACAACCGGTATCCTGTTGGGATCAAGGAAAGTCATAGAGTGCCACGTTCTCCTATTTTAACCAGATCTCCCCAAAATGCTGTGTCCACTTCTGGGCCCCACAATTTATCTCTTTATTGCATCACTAAAGCGTTCCAAAGAAGGCAAACTTTTCAGTCTAGCCCAGAGGATTTTTAAAAAGGGTCTCCCCACAATTTATCTCTTTATTGCATCACTAAAACATTCCAAAGAAGGCTTTTCTAGCCCAGAGGATTTTTAAAAAGGGTCTGGAAACCAAGCCCTACAAGTAACCACATCCTCAAGTCTGAATTTCGTTATGCGACAAAATTGTTTCCAGTATAATTATTTTAATCGCTGGCCCACCATGTGTTTCCGGTTGCTTGCCTCAGCTAGCAAGCCTGCTACTTACTGTATTTTGCACCAGAGAGCATATTCCACAGAATTTAATGGGAAGTTGTTGAAAAGCCGGTATAAGAACTCAATGGAGCTCCTGAGAATCTGCTACAGTTCTTTTCTGCATTGCAGTGTGCAGAGTTTTGTTCAGGGGGCTGTGCCAAGTCTGTGGAAAAAAAACAGAAAAGAATCTGGGGAAATGGACTCATACACAGCATCAAGCAAATCTGGTAAGATGTTTTCTATACAACAGCTGAGATGTTTATCAACAAGACAGTTAGGACTTTGAAGCATTCATTACACAAAGGCGTATGTTTCTCTTGATCATCACTTTATCCACAAGAGACAGCCGTAGCAATACTCCAGTGGAAACCTGTTTACTCTTAGAATTGTGTTCCAGTGTACTTCTGTGGACCAGGATAAGACAATCTCCCTTTCCGACACGAAGCGGGGAAATGTTGGCCACAGGTTGACCTAAGGGCCATGATCTAGAAGCACCAATTAGACAAGAGGGTCATCCTGGAAGGGGAAGAATTTCTTGTGCCCAATGTCATGTAAGCAAGTAAAAAAAATTTAAATCTTTCTCTTCCTGGTCTATAAAAGAGATCCACCACAATTCTTGGGGCCCACATGCATACACCAAGCCAGTATGTGCGTCCCCCCCAAAAAAAAATCACATTGGAGATTCTTTACCAGTGAAGAACAGACCAAACCTTTCGGCCTTGCTTACATTACACAACAAGATTTCAGACATTAAATTATTTCCAAGGGCGTGACTGGGTTGATCTTTACTTTTTCAAACTCCAAATAAGTGGCTAGAGAAAGCAGGTACTGGTAGATTCCGTGCATCAGGTGGCTTGCATTCTTTACTTGGTGTCTGTTTGCCTCCTGGTTCTTATCGAAAACTAAAACATACAATGGAGAGAACAAGGATTATTACCTGTAGGTTTCGCCTAAGTGTTTTTTAATTCAAAATTATTAATTTTTTGCTTTTTTACCATCCAAAAGTTTTGCCTTTTGCATAATAATGCAATAGGATTTCAGCCAATAAGATGCATGGACTCAGCACTTAGCATCTATTATACTTGGAATTTGAGCCATATTATTTATTTCAGCTTTTGCTTTATTTTACATCACCCGGCCCCCCGGCCTGGAGTTTTCTTGATTGCCGTCGCCCATATTTATTAGAGATAATCATCACAGAACTGTAGAGCTGGAAGGGGCCCTATGGATTGTCCATCCCCTGCCCAGGAGACCCAGTGGGGAATCGAACAGCCGACCTCTGGCTCTGTAGCCAGAGGCCTTAAACCACTGAGCTATCCGGCAGTTCAACTGGAGCTGTACGCCAGCACATCATAGCATTGGATCAGAGAGAACTGAGAGAGGAAGCAAACTCTATGGAGCCTTGGCCTAATTCAGCAGAGTCTCTTGTTACGTTTATGATTTCTGTTCCCCTAATTTCGGCAGATATAAAAGGGGAAGGGAAGACAACCTTGTTTTAGCTGATAACAGTTGTGGGTTTTGAATCCCTTGGGTACCGAAATGTTGATTCTCCATTCACCCATTGAACCCATGTTTCAAGTCTTAATTGGGACCAGAGATAGGATGTAAGGTATGTCTAGGCTGCCCATCTTTTAATCTTCAAATTAAAAATGCAGAACTTGAAAATGGCAATAAAAACAGTAATGCAGTATAAGCAAATCACTTTAGAAACAAGATCAGACCATCAGCGGTGCATCGTAAAATTCTGATACAAAATCAGCCACACAGGCAAAAACTCCACAACAATCCGAAAGTATTGGGAGGTTTTCCTAAAATACCTGCGAAAAGAAGAAAATTCTTACTGAGGACCACAAAGGACATGATTGGCCTTTTTTGGGGGGGTGGGGGTGGGGAGGGCTAGTCCCTGGCTGCTGCATATGTTGTGGGCACCGGTTCTTCCCCATTTGATGGAGATGGCCAGAGAAGAAGCAGAGATGTTAAGAGGTAGGTCAATAATAAGGCATTGGTCGATTTTTAGAAGACAAGATGCTTCCTTAAGTGGACACGAAAAATCTTCTCCAGACCTCCCTGCTGGCAAAAAAAAGTTTGTTCGCATAACAAAAAAATGAAAAATGGAAGGCTATGAAGATGGGGAAGAGACCTTTTCTTCGCCATTGATCTGGAGAATCTTGCTTTCAGTTTGCCCCAGCCCTGGCTCTTGTTCTAATGCGAGAAATGTCTCTTTGCGATTTAAGCTGGGAAAGGAGACGGGACGGTGATGCAACCCAGCTGTCTTGCACCAGCCGCTTTGCATGCATGTTTTTTTCTACAGCGCACCAAGCCTGACAGAGGGAGACCTCCAGAATGACCCCGGGAAGTAATCCCCCCCTTCCAAGTGATTCATAATAGAGATGTGGCGGAGATCAAATGGGATTTTCCCGACACTCTTGAGTCCCCAGCTCTGACTCACCCATCTGAGCAGCCTCGGGAGAATCGGGAGAGGAGGGAGGTCACCAGCTCAGATGCTCAGAGGAGGGCAGGCCTCTAAATGAAAGTTTTCCTTGGTGTTTACAGCGGAATGGTTCCTGAACTCAAGACATGGCCTTCCCTTGCAATCCTTTCCCAGGAGTATTCTCTGGGGTGGTTTTGTTCTCGGGAGCTCGGTTTCTTATTCTGCTTATTGTGTTTTGTCCGCATTTCTGGTAAGTAACAAGATTTCACTGGAAGGATTCGCTTGAAAGGATGAGGGTGGTGGAAAATGTGGAAGATGGTAGTCGCAGAAGAAGAACAGCTAACAACAGGATATGGACCGAGTCAATAAATGAAGCC